ACATATTTTCCACGCTATATATATGTCTGTTTGTATACCATTAATACATTTCACGCTTTTACAGTGAAAAATTTATTGGTAAAAAAATATTTATAGAAGATTTAGAAGAGCCGTCTATTATTTATGATAAATTAAAGAAATTTTTAAATTTTAATTTGAAAAATTACAAGAATTAAGTATAGTGTTAGTCTACTGTCTAATGTTATGCTCGCAACATCGAAGAAATTTGAGAAATTTTAAATATGAATAAATGAGTAAATCTATGTTCGAATACCCAAAAATTGCAATATTTTGAAAATTATTGATTTATGTAATTAATTTATTGTGAGAAATAGGAGGATTTTAAAGAATCGTGAAAGCTGATCCTGATTTTAAACTTATATAAAATAAGATTTTAATAGGGATTTGAGATTTTTTATAATTAAATTAGATATAAGAAAAAATAATGTTAACCAATTACCTTCACATGACAAAACTAAAACTAAATATGCAATGAAGTACCGAAAATTGGAACAGAGAACATCACAATTTTACTTAATTCGGAAACCGATTCGATTCTTCGCTCAAGTAAGATAAGGCAAGTAAGTAAGTCAAACAACTGAGAGTGACGGCAATCTAATCTACAAATAAAAGCTATACAAGTTTCAAGTTGAGAAACTATTTCCTAAAACTGTTGTGAACTATATAATATGAAAACTGCAATGAAATCAAAACTTAAATGTTATAAATGTGAATTAATTTGATAATAGCACCACTATTCTCTGAAACACTGGTTCAAGTAATATGATTTTTTCCTAAGTATTTTCCATTCTATAGAAAAATATTTTAAAATATTTAGAAAGAATATAATTTAGAATAAATATGAATGAAATTTGCACAGTTAAAACTTGCAATATTCTAAAAGAAATTCTTTTGAAGTAGCTATTTTTATATAAAGAACAATATGGGGGTGTTGTATATGTTTAAAATTTTCTATTTCATGGTTTCAAATATTTTACATGGTCTTTAATTTGCATGCCATAAGTTATGTCTTCTCTCAAAGAGGTATGGTATAGGGGTAGTGTAATAAATTTACCTAATTACGTTTTTATTTTGCACATTTTAAACAATAAGGATGGTGTACTTAATTTATGATTGCTTTCGAATTGACGTAATTCAAAAACTCTTTTCAAAATCATGAAAACTTTCGGAAATTATAAATTAAAACGCAAATTTCTATATATAAATTAGATATGTATATAATATGTGCACCTATATACCGACATGTTTATTTTGGTTAGTGTTTTCAAGGTTCGAGGTCCTAAATTATTAAAAATATTGTACAATCGTGTTTGTATAAATACAAAGTTTTAAGTTATAGCATCTTAAATCAATTATCCTTCGAAATTCCTTTAATTATAAATTAGTGGCAAGCAATTTTTAGTCTTTGAAAATACACCTGGTTGTGTAATTTAATTTCGCACCGAATCGTAATTTAATATTGGCTTGATCCGAATTTATTTTAATTAAAGTAATTACGATTAATTTGACATATTATTTAATTAAGAAAAATTTTATATGAATTTGTCTGTATTAGAAATTTTTCTTAAGGTTCGCGTTCTGAATCATACATTCAATTGAATACATTCCGCATAAAACCTCATTACAGATTAATCTAAAATGATTAATAAATGGTCCAATAATAAAATGGTTAATTTTTTTTAACAACTTATTTACCTCTCGGAAAAGTTGATTCAATAATAAGCTGTTAACATTTAATTAAAATATCACCTGAAGTACCTCCGGAAATCCTTATATTTAATTACGTATCTGAAGGAAATAATATTATTTAATCTGAAAAAAAATTATAGCATTGTGAAGATAAAAGTCAGCCTGTCCGTGTATCTGTTTACAAAACTTTTGCACCCTTTAAGATAAAAAGCTGAAATTTTACACACAAATGGATTTTTAATCCAAAACCTGTAAAAATCTGTAAAACCTGTAATGGATCTTTAATTTCTGTATAACCAAATTTTTATGTTTGTCCCCAGTCCAAATTTTTATGTTTGTCCCAAGCCATTGTTTGACTATTTATTGTGTAAAAACCACAAATATTTTTTTAAATTCTGCAAATGCAGTAGCTGCTGGTTATCATATAAAAGTAGAAAGTTAACGGTAAATGTCATACTGTCAGAAAATATAGTCATATATCTTAGCTCACGCAATTAACCGTCGAATTCGATTACATATTACAATTTTACGCTTCTATGCAATATTGATATTTTAATGAACGTAAATAAAGTACACGACTTTTTATCATATAGAAAAATGTATAAGAATTTGTGATTTTAAGCAATTTGTGAAATTAAGTGAAGCTCGGATAAATTCAAATTATGTGAAATAATAGAATTAAGCTTATAAAATATTCTTACGTATTCCGTTTGCAAATACCTGGAAAAGTTTTCAAATTATAAAAATATTTAAACAAATAGAAAAACTGAAAATAATGACAACTATAAATCGTAATTGACAGCTATTTCAACAAGTAAAAAAAATGTGCTCGCATTTAATAGTTTTGTAAAAAAAATTACCAACAGATGTTGCAAAAAAAAAATTACACCGAGAATTTTTAATTTGAATTTTTTTTCTCAAATTTTAATTTTGTGATTTTAAGCGAGTAAAATTGGATAAAATTAGACATTTCAATGTCGAGAGCTACGTAAGAAAGTTTCTATTAACCAAGAAGTTTTTCTATTAATTCTGTTAGAATATGTGTAAAAGTGAATGGAGATCTTTCTTGTCAAAAATTTTGTGAGTTTAACAAAGTTGCGATCAAGGAAAAAGTGCTATTTTACAACTATTATGGTTTGATTCAACTTTAGTTAATGAAAGACTCAATAAATGCAATCAATTGGCTTTCGTTCATCAAAAATAACTTTCGATACAAGATACAAGCAAAAACTACTATCACATGATATTAAAAGGCCTATAGCATTTGATTGATTTTTGAACTCTTATCTCTTTTTTATGTTTTAAAATTAATTAATGAATGCCTTTACAAACCTTTTTCAAAAAAAAAAACGGCATTTCCCTGCCTTCTATTACCTTATTATCCTTTTTATTGCCATGTTCTTGTTTTATCCTTCTATATACCTTCTCAATATATTTATTTTTTATATTAAAAATCACTAAATAAACAAAATTTCTCCATTAATTATAGCAGGAAACATCGCATATTAAAAAACGAACCGAAATGAGTAAATTTTAAAAAATTTTCCGAGTAAAGAAATTAAAAAAAAAATTGTTCTCTGATTAAACTTTTCTCTATATTTAATTTTAATCCCATATAAAGGGCTCCGAACTATTTTCAAGTTCCCCCTCTCAAATGAAAATTAAAAAAAAATTATTCAAAATTAAAGATAAAAAGCAAAAACAGTAAAACTCAAAGAACAAAATTTTTAATCAAAACGTTTAAGACAACATTAATTTTTTTTTCTATTAATAGTTTGCTTTACTAATTTTTTTCCAAATAGATTAGAACACTAGATAGTTTATTTTTTAACAATATATTCCATAATATTAATGGCAATAATAATAATTTCCTATAATATTACCCACAGCAACCCACACATATTTATCCCTTTTTAAAATTGATTTTTTAACATTGATTTTAAATACATTCTTTATCCTCGTAAATGTTTATTTAATCCTCACATGCAAGAGTTCTTAGCAAAGATTATACAGGGTGTTGATCAAAATTATTTCTGTGATAAAAATTTACAATATACGTGTGTCGAATTTCTAATAAATATGAAAGACGTTCAGTTCAAATTAATTGAAAAAGTAGAAAAAATAGATTTGACCGTGTTATTTCTGTGATACCCGTACGAATTTGTTAACCTATGGGCTAATAAATATGTTATAGCTGACTAAGGGACAGACTGTGACTTTAAGTTGCCGTATTACCATATTAATTTATGCAAAATTTCAATACTGTGTGTGTCAATATTTTCTAAGACATGGCCAAACTACTATTGAAGTTGTATGTCTGCTACCAGAAAGATCCAAGCAATTTCAACAACTCTTATCAAACACATTGTCCCTTCTAATATATTTATTTGCACGAAATTTCAATACTATAGATTTTATAGTTTGTAAGATATAGTCAAATAAATTATGAAGTTGTATGGCAGCTACCCGAGCCAGTACCCCGATTATATCTAATTCAAATAGAGTCCTGTCACATACTACAGTAAATCATTTGTAAGAATTTGGTGAACTAAGCTCAATTAGTTTTTGAGTTATCGTTGGGCCGGAAGGACAAACAAAGCTAAATTGACTCAGAATTCGATACTGATCAAAAACGTACTCTTGAGTTTATATCTCGGACCATTAGTTCTTAACGTTACCAACGATAAGGCAAATTTAGTAGATCCTTCGAACATACGTTCGTACGGGTATAAACAGAACTAGAATTTTAAAAGCTCAGCTCGGATTATTAAAAATTTGTTAAACAATTGCATGCATAAACTGTAGTAAGTTTTTCAAAAAGTGTACCCGAATTTTCCAAATTATTTAACTGTTTGTAAAAAAAGAATAAATCTAAACGAAATGGAGAAAATATTACAGTAACTTAAAAGGAGTCTTTTTGGAACGAACTGAAAGAACTACCAATTAAAATACTTTTTGAAAAACTAGTTTAATTTTCTCAACAATTTCGAAGAACTCCATGGGGTTAATAATAAATTATTGACAGAATCTTAACAGATCACAGTTGACCATTGTATAACAAATTTTCTATCGACTCAATCCAAAGAAATTAAAATTGTTAAAATCACCATAAATCATCCAATTCTCCTCATATTAATATTTCATAGAATATTATATGGATTATGTGCCAACTATTATGTGCTTGCATATTAAGATACTAATTATATGTTTGTACATTTGTGAGTAAATTAAAAAAATTGTACCAATATATTATTATATACCGATTATTATATAACATTTTACTATTGCAGGTAATTTTTGCACATACTTGTATATACAACATACATATTATATAGTGTACAATATACATACTCGTACATATAGGATTCGGATAGGTATATCTTTGTATGTTACCTTGAAAAATAATCTGTATGTCCTGAATTTTTCTGTTCCATTTCCTATTTAGCTTTTTATTTTTCTTATTTTTTTTTTTCATTTTCGAACTCATCATAATCATCATTTCACATCCATTATGGAGAGGATTTTATTAACACATAATATTTGTCGATATTATTGCGTATATCAGTTTATAGATCGTTTCTCTGTTATACATATTATAATTTTCTTTATTATTATAGTTTATAAAAATAAAGAGTTGGGGGAAAATCAACGAGAGGTAGGTGTTTTTCGTCGAATTATTTTACACAGGTATATAACAGTATATGCATATAGTGAAAATAAAATATAATATTCTAGGATAAATTATGAAAAGTTTATTGTTCTAGATTATATTGAAAATATTTATTATGCGATTACGTGTTGGCAGGAAATTAATTTTTACTTATATAAAAATTTTCTATACATACCATTCTCCCATATATATGTATGTACATATATAAATACGTAATTGTTTTTCTTTAAGCGTCTGTTAATGGAAAATAACGAATACATTTATACAGACGCAGTTATGTTTAAATATAATGAAAGGGTATTACGGTATACCTATAACCTAACCTATACTTATTTGTTTGTAGGTGCGATAAATAAACTTTTCCATTAAAAGAAATAAGGAAACTTTTTATTTTTTTGTTTTTTTTTTTATAATTTTTTATTTTCTATATAAAAAATATGTACGTGAATTCTTACATAATATTATGTAAGTACATAGATGTTTGTATATCAACCATTTTCAAATTATATATATGACAACATAACCGACATAGTATATGTACAAATAAGTATAGGATTACGGACTAAACATCAAAATTAGGTTAGTGTTAATTTATTAACGTGGAAGAAAAAAAGGTTAAAGTTAATGACTTAATACAATCGCTGTATAAATATACGCAAGGTACAACTTTAGAGTGGTATAAAAATAAATGAATACACATTTTATAAATATGTACATAATATAGCAGTATTCAAATACAATAGTGTAATAAATAAACGATATAACAGTATAAAATATACGTTATTCCGGTACATCAACGTACATAAATATACTGTTTTCTCTCTTATGTAGGCTTAAATATATTTGAAGATTATTATTATATTTTTATTCGAGGCTTAATTACTTTGAATATTATGTTATGTGTTTTTGTTATATACAGTAAGCTCCAGTTAATATTACATCAAAAAATGCATACAGGATTTTTAGTGTCCTTAATTGAGTTGTGAAAATTAATAGGCTTCGTTTAATATCACACTTTGTGAAAATAGATGATTTATTCTTTTTGATGTGTTTAGGTATTAGATTATTGAATATTTGGCTGAAAAATAGAAACTTATCCTTACTGAATTAATGGGGGTGCTATAATATGGGAGTGTATACTTCTATAAAAAATTAACATAAATTCAGTTAGCAGTTGACATTCAATGGAATTTGACAAATTAAAAAGTAGATTAAAATTGACAAGAAAAAAGACATGGAATTGATGTTCCATCTATTGGGAAATATTGAAATTATTCACTGTTTTTTTAGTAAAATTTCTGATGTGACTTTAAGCAAGTTATGAAGTTGGAAGAGCTGTTATTTTCAAATTACAAATACATACATTGTGCAATTCACTGTATAGAAATTTTTGTGTTTTGACATTTATAAGAAAATAAAGGACTGCGATGCTGTCTAATTTGATTTTACGCAGATTCCACTGTATCTTCTTATAAAATATGCATAACAGCTTTGTATGTAGGAATAATTTTTACATTAGGACATGTAGATTTATATATTACAGGGGATCTAATATGATTATAGCATTAATATGAAATGATATAAACTCAAAGAGAAAATAAGAAAATGAAAGAGAAAATATGACATTTTAAATTCATTTCATGTACCTACGTTATAATATGGAAAAACTGTTATTTTTGCAATTAAGTGTTATACAGGTATTCATATTATTTGTTTTTTTGATAACATAATATTTTTAATAAGAATATTGAAATTTTCTGTGGTTTACTTACGGGTATCACGTAATTCAATTTATTTTTGCAATTAGGCAATAAATTTATAAAATTACAAAAATTTTACTTTTCGCGTATTAAAAACATAATGAAGGCGGGTGGTGAATGCTTTATTGCACCAGTTCAAATTAGTTGTACCAAATAATTAAAGGGAAAATAAAATTTTTCACAATTTATTTTGCATGTTTACAAAACTCTTAATAATTTCTGGCTAAATTTCTATTGTTACTTCCAATCATTACTCTTTTTTTTGACTATTTTGAATAGACCAGAGTAATTAATTGCTATATATAAATTTGAGTTACAAGCCTGTTAATCAACGAAACACTAAAATATTATTAGTGTATTAACTGAAAGTTTGGAATAATTTGATGATACTCTCACAGTCTTACCAAGCCAAAGTTGTATTTGTTTAATAATTCCCTGCAGTTTCAATGTTGCACGCATTTAACTACGAAACAACCTATATAAACGGTAATCCGTGTTAAATTTATTTGTAAATCAATATTTGATTTTCATAAGATTTTTTTATATTGGTGTAATGGTAAGGCAGGTATCTTGTAATTAAGAAGATTTATTTACCAGTCATTAGAAATCTAATTTTTGTTACATTAATTATTTAAAAATAAAATCATGTCTTCTAAGTGGGTGCTACTGTACTTTTTTTTCAGAAAAAAGAATTAATTAAACAAAATACCCTTAAGAACATTAATTTTCCCGTCAAGTAATAATTTTTGCATGTTAATATTTAAAATAATTTTAGTTTGAGTCAAAATGTTTAAAATAATTTTATTGAGAATAAGACGGAAAACTGAACTGTTTTATCAAATTTTGAAAAACCATACAATTCCAGGAAAAATGTAAGGAATTTGAGTACTGTTATAATAGGTCTGTATTGTTATTGATAGGTCTGATAATATTTTGAATTTGAATTTTTAAAATGAAATTCTATTGTGGAGCTTAATATATGTACTTATCGAAACATAGGCTGTAATAGTAAATGTAATTTTTTACAACTTTCTCAAAAACAAAAATTGGAAACAAATGCAATGTTATATGCAAATAGAGGTTTTCTATTGTAATAATATGTTTTATATGGTAATAAAGTCTTATTATATCGAAACCACAAAGAGTTCTTTAATTCTTTAAACGAAGAAAAGTAGTTAATGGATTTTTCATAAGCTGTGTCAGCTTATTCAAGCAATACAATGAAAACTGACTGATGAAATTAACTGTTACTTTTAAAACCCCATTTCTTTCCAATTTTTGATGTTATTTTTCTTCTTGATAGTAAATCGTCCTGATTTGCCTAAGAAGCATGAAATTTTAGTAGCTTTTAAAAATTTTTAAACATTTTATTTCGTTAAACATTTTCGTTTCGTTTTATTTCGTTTTTTTCCGCCTCCCTTCTTGCAAAATTGAAATTTTAGTCGCCCTATATTTTCGGAACTGCATGCTTTTCCAAATTTCTAGAGAAGCTAAAAGGTAAGAGAAAACACCATGTTCTCAAAAAATTTAATTATTTTTCTTAGCTCACACAATTAGTCCTTAAATTCGAGCATTATATTAACGCCTTTAAATTTTTTTTTCATTTGCTCATCCCAAATGTATGCAATATTTGATAATATTTGTGTTTTGATATTTTAATGAAAGTAAATAAATTAGAAGATGGTTTCAGTTTTGTTGTTATTTTTAAAAAGAGCAAAAATAAATCCTTGTATTACGGGTATGGTATATATATGGTAACCTAAATCCTTGATTTTAGAAAAATTAATTTCCAAACAACTTGTAAACTAAAATATTAAATTACATTGCATCAATTAATTTCAAAGTTTCTCTTTCACCTTAAAGGTCACTTGATTTCTTCTTTGTTTTATTTAAAAAATATAATAATATTTTTTATTTCGTATTTTCACTTCTGAATTTAAAACAGAGAATAAAACAGAAATAAAGAACAACCTTAATAATACCAAAACTTATTAAGAAATTAAAAAGTATGTCAAAAGAATTTCAAACGAATGGAAAATATTTCTCATACAGGAAATTAGGTATGAAAATATAGGAAATTGTTTAGTTACAAAAAAGGAGGTTAATAATTTTTACAAGGTTTTCTAAATCAGGATAAAAACTTCAACATTTCTTTCAATAACTTTCATTATTTTACAGGTAAATAAAGAAAATTATTAAAAAAAAGCCTACTACACTGTTAAAACAATATTTTGAAATTTTCTGTAGTTTTCACTAGAAAATCAACAGTCTAGGTCTAACGGACCGATTAATATTTTAAACAAGTCAGAAAAACTTACAATCAATGCTGTATATAAATATATTTTAGTATAATTGGCACAAGTATTTAATTTTTAAACAGCAATATTGGCTTAACAGTATTAAGACGGAAATATAAATTTATATTTGATTAACAGACGGAATTTATTTGTATAAATTCTACCTTGAAGTCAGGACTCGTGAGGCAGTGCAACATCTATGCAACAGTGTAATGATCTTTTCTATTTAATACGTCATAGAAACAATTCTACATTTAAACCATTTAACTTAGTTCGTTTGGTTTACCTTGGCTCAATTTATTTTAAAATATTCGAATGAAATCAAGGATTTAATGTACAATTTTTTTTTTTCAAAAATTTATAAACTTTTCAATTATAGTTTTGCAATTTCAATTATTTTACAATTAAATTTTTAAATTAAAAAAATTCCCCCCCGATTACATAATATCTTCTTCAATTGTTGTTGGTAAATTAATGTGTTGAAAACCTTTATCAGGATTTGCATACTGTAAACGTACAATTTTTCTTACCAAATTTATTAATTTATATTTTTCAATTTCTAACATTGTCTGAAGTTTTTTATAGTCTGATATTCCACAATAATCTAATTTACTATTTAAAAATCTTCCATAAATATTACGTTTAATTACGTCAAATACTTGAATTTCATATTCAATGTCATCGACTAGCTGAGTGTATTTTTCTTCAAGTGAATTTGAATTTTCTATTTCCTCTTTCATTTTGAATTTTTTTTTTTTAATTAATCACTATTAATTATTCATTTATTATATTAAGAATTTTGAATTTTTAATTACTCGATTTTTTTTTAGAAAACATTAAAATTTTGGACTCCTTTTGTTTTTGAAAATTTCAAGAAAATTTTAAATGAATTGTTTCCAAGGTATCGTAAATAAAATTTAAATAATAAAATGAAAATTTTTTTAGGATTTTGAAGTACCGACAAAATATTTCTTTGTTAATATTTTTTGAATGAATTGCTTAGGGGTTCAATGGCTCCAAATAGATTTGTATTGAACACACAACACATAGAAGTTTAAAAAGGAAAACTTTGCAATTTCTACAACGGGAAAGTTTATATTTTCCTAATAATGGGAAATATCCCAAATAGACGGACTAATAAAGTAAAAACAAATTTCAAAATATATTACATTATTAGACTATGATTATATTATAACACATTATTAGACGTTTAATATCCGAAGAGATTTTAATATAAATTGTAAATTGTAAATTGCACCAATATAAATTGTAAATTGCTCAGCCTTTGGTTTAATTAAATTATTTTTATTCAAATAAAATGAATAAAAATTTATCGATTATTTACATCCACATACATATCATATGTATATATGTATGTACGTATAAACATACTTATTAAAAATTTTCCAAATAATGCCCAATAATACGGTTCCAAATTCCATATCATGCAACAATTATAAACGAAACATACTGGAATGGAGAAAGATATTTTAAAATAATTATATTTTTTGTTCCGAAATCCAAAGGTATACAATTTTATTGTTCTATTAAATATATGTGCAACACTCGAATACAACCCGTATTTAAGTAGAGCAAAAAACATTCTATTATTGGGTTGGTAAAATAAAGGCTCTTAATTAAAAATTAAATTTTGCTTTGTATTTTCTAATAGTAATAGGCAATCGTATATTCTCAAGAATTACGATGCGTAATTAATTTGAACATACCGTATATTCATCCCCGGCTCTTGTTTACTTGACGCCTTTGCAGTTTCCAAAAATTCGCGCAGCTTATATCTTATATGGCATAGGAAAAAAAGATTTTTCCTACTGTTATTGTCATTAAAATTTCATACAACGCTTTCTAGCATATAGTTTTAGGCTATTATTTTCTTATTTATTTCAAGATTTCTAAGTGATTTCAGTAGAAATTGAGGTTGCTTCATGCGAATGAAAATATAAAGCTTTCGTAAACAAATTGTGATTCAAAAAATGACAAACAAATCACAAAAGGAACCATAAACCTAACTACTTAAATAATATTACAACAAAATGGTTATGTGATCATTAAAATTTAATACAATATTGGTTTTGTAAAGCAGGAAAGAGGACATAATAGAATTTTCAGATATAACAAAAAAATTAGAAAAAAACAAAATACCGTCTAATCTATTACAAAAAATGATGATTGCATTTTCACACGAAAGTGTTTTTGTTTTCTATTTATTTATAAAAAAAAATGTTACCATTCGCGATTTCCTGCGATTCCGTTCCACCACAGGATTTATTTTGCATGACAATGATGAAACAGATGCTTACTTTAGAATGTCATAATTTTCCTACCCGAAACACACATTATTATTTCCCTACGTCTAGGTTTTATAGATTTCTATTAAGAGTACCAGTAGATTTACATGCATATTTTGCTATAATAAAATACTCACCGAAATTTAGGAAAAAAATTCAAGTAGGCTTGTTAATTTATTTTTAAAAGTTTAAACTAAATTAAAGAAAAAATATTTTCGGAACATAGTCACCAATGATTTGTAAAAAAGGAAATTTTTCTTTAAAATTTTTTACAATTTTAATTTTAAAACTAAAAAATGGAAACGATATTCTATTGAATAAGTTAAAAATATGTTATAAGGCAATAATTTCAAGTTTACGATTAACTAGATTTAAAAAGATTAATTTAATTAAAGTCAATTGAATATATTTTTGAATAAGAAAACAAATGCAGTTAGATGTTGATCTTACAGAACTCCGAGTGAATTAAAATGGCGTCAAAGAATAAAAACTATTGCTAATATAACTAACATTTACAGAGTTTTAAGGAGAATATTCGAAAGAAGGATTCTAATGAAATAAATTCTAGTGAAATTATATTTCAACATCTACAAAAATGTTTAAATTCAAGACCATTACGAGTTGCCGTGTATATAAGAAATATTGTTTTAAAAATGAATGAAAAATTGGAATAAGACAGCGGATAATAAATTGTTGAATCTTTCAATGCAGCAAGAATTGAAAAATTACGATAAGGGTAAGGGAAGTAGTGGAAATTTTGGAGTTATAATTTAAAAGAGCAAAAAGATATGTAAGTTTTATTTACCTCTTAGTTCCATGTTAATTTTAGTATTGTGTTTTATTAAAATGCATCTATTTTTAGCATAACAAACGTAAAATGCAATTTAATATATACAGTTCTAATATATATGCTCAAACTAAATACATATGTGTAAGCACTTATAAATGTGTAACATATTGTACTCTAATATCACAGGTATGGTTCTACCTTTATCGGCGCCCTACGCCGAAAAGATGCAGCCTCCCCTTTGAGGGCAATGAACAATATGCAATGAACACCGCACATTACACGTAATAAATCCCTTTCTTGTAACTTCATCATAATAGATACAAGAATAAATAATAAGATCTTGAAATAGTGGTAATTTAAGCCTGAAATTAAACTTTCATTTTTTTGTTATACAATGCTTCTACATAGGTGTACCATAGATAGTCACTGTGAATAGAAAGAATTTTTTTTTTAAATTAGTAATTTAGATGTCATTTTTAAGTTTTCAATGGCGCCCCTGTATTCGGGTGCCCATTGTAAGTGTTTACTTGCATCCGGCGGTGTATATACATACACATTTATATTATTGTATTATGCTGTTATGAACACTTTTGTATTTTGTTTGTTTTTTAACAAAAAAGTTCAAATTTAGAGTGATTTTGATTTTAGATTACCCTATTTGATTCAATTGATTGATTTTCATTCATATTTTTTGTTATCTATTCCAATATAGGTATCTACCCGAGTACATAAATGTGTAGCCAGTATACACGATACAATTTAGAAATTAATGAAAGTCTCATCAGGTCTGTCATGGTTATGAATTTTTTGAAAAAAAAAGACAAAATATTTTCCAATAAATTTTCAATTTAAATTTAGACATAAAAAAATTTTAATGGAAATATTTTTTGTTTTTCCTTTTTTTTTATGAGAATATTAAAAAATAACCATCTTTTTATAGTTTTCTATTTCTATTTATGTCGCAAAAAAAAGGGTTATGTTTCTAAAGTTATCGCACTACTAAAAATAAACGGAAGCTTTTCATTCTTATTTCTGTATTCAAAAAAAATTCATTCAGTCTATTCAATGAGATTGATAAAATTTGATTTCCATAGTAGATTTAATATGGCATTTTAAGAATTTAAAAGAACAAGTGCAGAATTATATATCTTAATCTCAATGTCAATTAAGCTCTAAGCTACTTGAAAATTATTTTCTCATGAAATAATGTAAACAAAAATTTTTAAATTGAAGTAAAAATAAAATTGAAAATATTAGGAGATTCCAGAAGAGTAAAGCCGCCGGCATATATCAATAGTGATATAAATAATAAATTCGTATTAAGGCTATAGTATGTTAATTACCATATTTCTTTTATGGACTCAATTATGGGAGACAATTGAAATCAAAGCGTCAGTCATCTTTTATAAGTCGATTCATAAAAAACACTGTTATTATGGAAGTCGCTTTTACTTAATAGGTTTATTAATAAAAGTTCCCATAAATACTAAAAAAATCTTCGAATGAATTTTATTTGGGTGATGGAATTTTTGCAAAATAGAAATCATGAAAAATGCTTTGCTTAACAAAACCATAGTGGTTTTCAAATTGCTAGATGATATT